CTTCTCCTTCATTTCATGTTCAAACATGGCTCTGAAAACTGGAGAGCAAGCTGCTAGGATGGCCTTGTGAGCCCTGAATTCATGGCCACCTACCAATAGGCAGCAGTCTGTGAACAGGGAATTCTTCCATACCTCCCCTAGGTCATCTGTCCACCTGTGCCTCGAATCCTTGATTGCAGTTTTCATGTTCTGTCCAGGTATACTATAGAAACCTCCAACTATGCTCACCTTGCAGCAGAGGGTGAGCTGGTCTTCAGGGAGAAACAAGTAAGGATTGGAGAGGAGAAGATCTCGAAGGATAAACTTTTCGAATCCCCTCTTTTCATTTTGCAGAAAGTTTATGACATTGGGGCTCATCATACATTGAAATTTCTCTCCTTGGCAATTTATGATCCAGAACTCATACTTTGCCCAAACTGGGCTCTCTGGGTGGGTGAGCAACTCCAGGAAAACTGACAGGTAATCTTTGCTTTCTTCATCAACTCCATTTGGGTATACTCTCAAACACCATGCCACTTCCTCATTGGGCTCTGATGAGAATAGTGGGCTTGTAATCTCTTTCCTACTTCCCCCCATGCAAAATGAAAAGTTGCTAATGGTCCACTCATAGCAGAATTTCTGAACACTGATGTGTGTGTGTGTGTAGTAACGGCTCTTGGCTTCCAGGTCCCCTGACATTTCTGCTGGAGGTAGTTTGGGTGTTAAAGTTGATCTGAAAAGAAGAACTAAATGGTATTTATTCTTCATCCTCTTGGAAACAATTATAGATACACTTCAGATTTTAGTTTCAATTTGTCCTAAATTAAATCTCTGTCTCTGCCTCTGCCTCTGCCTCTGCCTCTCTCTCTCTCTCTCCCCTTTCTCAGTCTCTCTCTCTCTCTCTCTCTCTCTGTGTGTGTGTGTGTGTGTGTGTGTGTGTGTGTGTGTGTTGTGTGTATGAGTGTGTGTGTTAGTGTTCTGTCTAAACTCCACCTCCACAGTTATCTGGCAACCCCCAGGTATGGTCTTCCCCACAGTTACCTGGTAGGCCTGCCCAGTATAAAAAGGGCTTCTTGCCTCCTCCTCTCTCTCTTACTCTTACTCTCTTGCCTGTAGCTTCTCTCTGTCCCCTCTCCCTTCCCCACCTTCCCTTTCCCCTCTCTCCACATGGTCATGGCCGGCCTCCACTTCACTCTCTCCTCTTTCTCCACCATATTCTCCCATTTCTCTTCCCACCTTTGCCCTCTTTCCTAAATAAACCCCCTCCCCTTTGGAACTGTTTGGTCTGGTGTTGTCTGTTCTAAACTGTGTGCAGAAGTCACATTGGTGATGAAATCCGGGATATGAAGACTTCAGGAACTGCGAGACCCCTGTGGCCACTGGAAGCAGCAGCTGGCTGCTGTGACGCTGCTGTGACCATACAAGACCGACAATATTCGGCCTGCCACAACCCCATCCCCGCAGCTGCCATCACTACACCACAAGGACTTCATCTGCTGCTACCTGCCATCACCGACCTTGTGAATTTCCATTGCTGCTGCAGACCAATCCCATCTGCTGCTGAGAGGCTCACAAAACTTCCACCATGTGAGCTGTGCTGCTGCATCCCCACGTGGTGCTCTGCTACATGGGCTGGGTAGCAAAACAGGGACACAGACCTCATGCTTCCACCCTTCCTGATACCAGACTGCACAAGGCAGCAAACACACTGGTGTATTAATTAGTTGGAGTTTCCAACTGGTGGGAGGAACCCTGGATGCCCAGTTAGGGTCTGGCCAGCCTTCCCTGGGATAAGGGGTTGGCTTTTCATTGCCCCAGTCCATATGACTGACCTCTAGCTGAACTACGACCTAGGACATTGGCCATTGAGTGATTTCCCTCTCAGAAATAGCTCCCAGCCCCCCCCCCAAACTCTCACAGCTGCTGGAAATCCTGGTACCAGATGAGCTATTTTCTGGTGGACTAGCTCAGTGGAGGCCCCTAGATATTCTCATGATGACCTGATTATCTAGCCTGAGCCTGATTTTGCATTGCCAGCTTTTTTTCGGGATGCAGACTGATAGCTCGGTAACAGCCATGTCATCCAATGGGTACCACATTGTCTTCGACTGTACCCACAGACACCCCACTGGGTTGTCTACTGAAAAACCTCAAATCTCTAAAATTAACGCCTGATTTGAGGCCTTCCAAATTGATACACCTCTACAATAAGGTCTGGATTTGATACCCTCTAGATAATGGACTAACATAGCGACTTAATGGCACACTAGACTCGAGGGGTCTTTAACACATACTGCCAGCAGTCTGGTAAATGGAAACAAATCCCCTATGTTCAAGAATTTATCCACCTTCCTTATACTCCTTCCATGTGTTCTGCCTGTTTGCCATCCCAGGTTCTCTTAGCCATGAAACCTGCTCAACCCCTCACCTCTTTCTAATTTTTCTTTTTTAATTAAACCAAAATGGGGTAATTGCTGAGACTCTAGCAGACATCTGCAGGTTTACATCAGACGTGCACAATCACTTGCACGAAGGGCTTGGCTACCTGAGCATTCGAGGGAGGCGTTCCCCCTCCCTTTCTGACTGAGACATGTAAAGTGAGTGCTAGAGGTACCTTCCGCTACAAAAACAACTAACATGAACATTACTGTGATATGAGACATGCTTGCTTTTCCTTGCCCTCTGCAAACTCTAGCTGCCAGAGACACTGGGCAGCAACTTCCAGCCACTAGCAGGAAGTCTTGCCCTGCTGCTACTGCCACCCAACCCCCTGCCAGCCATATGATCCAGCTTTCTTATTCTGGTCCTAGCCAAATGTTTCTTTGCTAATACAAAAATGTGCTTTTCTCTACCTACACAACCCGCCAAAGTTACTTAGGATAGGAAAGGAAAGGCTCTGTCTTAATAGATTTTTACTACTGCTATTAAATTCTATTCAGTTACAACCAATCCTTATGGCTCTCAATCTTGTCAGAAGTCTGCTAATAGTATATTTAAGCTTATGGCAGTCAGAATTCCCAAAGCCTCTAACAGTTAACCCAAGATGGTTTCAGAAGACTTGGACACTGGACACCTAGAAGATACAGCCTGGATTGTATGGGATGATATAGTCACTAACAAACACAGTGGGCTAGATTGGATGCTCTGAGTCAAATGACTTAGCTAAGTCAAACCAAGGTAAGTCATTTCTCATGTCATGCATATCCATTCCACAGAAAAAAGCCCTGCATCTTCTGCACTTGGAAGCCAAACTGACTTCACCCAAGAGACTATGGAGACCACGGGAACTGTTGGCTAGTGGAATTTAAAAATATAAAACTACTAGATTATTAGTATTGTTTACTCTTTTTCTCAGACTTCTGACTATATTGACAGCTAAGCTTTCACAGATATTATCTGTTACCCCATTACCTAAACTCAGTTGCCATCAATTAAATGCTTCACATTTCCTCTTCTTGCTATGACTCTGTCCTAATATTATCTGAGTTCCTATAAACTTATGTAACTCTAATAAAATATTCCACTATACGATCCAGCAAAGGGTTATCTTATAGACTGCTTGTGTTGTTAACTCATGCTGTTATCTCTTTTGTAAAATAATAAGCTACAGGAAACCCACTCAGATCTACCTCTCATGGACCAAGTAGACGCCATCCAGATCTTGTCAAGTCCAGGGACTTCCAAAACACCTCCAGAGAAGCAACCTCCAGATGCTCCATCTCCTGTCACACACACACAGCTGCTTCTACTGGACCTGTTCCTTCTGACCTATTCTCTGATGGCTCACTCCATAGACCCTGAACAGCAAGAAACAGCCAAGTCTTCTAAGACCAGACAAACATCCTCCATACCCATTCTTCTAGGTTCCCCCTAAAGACACATTGCCCCGAATGCCAGCAGGAAGTAGCCAGATATCACGACAACCCCATTCCTGCTTCACTGTCATCTCTTTCTAATTTTTCTTTTTTAATTAAACCAAAATGGGGGAATGTTAGCATTCTGTCTAAACTCTACCTCCAAAGTTATCTGGCAAAACCAAGATATGCTCCTCCCCACAGTTACCTGGCAAGAGCCAGGAAGGCCTCCCCACTATAAAAGGGGCTGCTTGCCTCCTTCTCTCTCTCTTACTCTCTTGCTTGTAGCTTCTCTCTGCCCTCTCTCCCTTCACCCCTTCCTTTCCCCCTCTCTCCACATGGTCATTGCTGGCCTCCACTTCTCTACTCTCTCTCTGCTTTCTCCACCATCTTCTCCTGTTTCTCTCCCACCTTTGCCCTCTTCCATAAGTAAACCCCCTCCCCTTTGGAACTGTTTGGTCTGGTGTTGTCTGTTCTAAGCTGCGTGTTTAGGTCTAACAGAGTGTGTGAGTGTTTGATTATTGAATCTTAGGTCAGTGATAACTAGTTTTGGCTATTCTATTCAACTTTGGAAGAGTTTGGAAATTTTTATAAACTCGCATTTTAAGTGTGCTGTATTTAGTCAGGGTCCTGTAGAGAACGTACAAAATGAATTCCTCTATATAAATAGAAAGAGAATATATTTAAATAACCTACAGAGTGAGGTACAGCTAGTATAACAATGGCGAAAACTAGTACTTACTTTGTCCACGAGGTTTGAAGTCTCAGATGTTCTTCAGTATATGCTGGTATTCTGAAGAATTAGGGCCTAATGTCACTGAAGAAATCGCCTTGCTGGTAAGATGAGAGGAAGCACTTGCTGGTAAGATGAGAGGAAGCAGTCAAAGATCAAACTTCTTTCATCTGTGTGCTTATATAGGCCTCCAGCAGAAGGTGTGGCCCAGTTAAGGGTGTGTCTTCTAGTCTCAAGGTCTGGATTAAAGGTGTGTGTTTGCTGCCTCAAGAGTCAGATTAAAGGTGTGTGTTTTTCTCGATTTGAATGGGATCTATCTACTTCAACTTAAACAAAAAAAAAATTTTTAAGTTGAGCCCTCCAGTTTTGTAGGTTACTTAAGTCCACAGGTAACACAGACAGGAAGACTAGCCATCACCATTGTACTTTACATACTGGGGTCTGTCTTCCATAAATCAAGGGATCATGTCAATCCCTGAACAGCTGTTATTTTCCCTTGTGCTGGTCTTACAATGATTCCTGCCATAACCATGATCAGGGAATTTGTTTTTGCCTTAGCTGGTCAGAAATCTGAGTGTTCACAAGATGGAGAACAGGTTGAAGAGCTCCTATATGGTGGGCAGGAAGCAGAGCCTGGAACCTCTGAGAGTGGCATTCTTTTTTCTTGTGTGTTATTCCATTTAGACCCACAGACCTTGTTTTGACTCCTCCCAATTTGGTTGGTGGTCTAGTACTTCCCCTCAGAAAATCCTCCTTAGAAATGCTTTTTAAGAGCCACTTAATGGTGTGACTTGGGAATATCCTAAATGCTTCTCAATTCAATCGCTTTAATTGGCAGGATTCAGCCTCTCAATACCTCTTACTCTGCATTCTCCACTGGTGAGTTCTGTCCTCTTCAGACTTAGACTGCATGCTTGATGTGCTGCTCCTGAAAAGGGAGAGGGTATTCCATTTTCCAAGGGCTGCAGCATATATTCAAAAGGTATCAAAAGATTAGGGTTTGTTATTACTGTCCTTAGGTAAAATGGTGTGTAAAATTCTGCCTACATCTCTCATCTCTCCAGTTATTCATTTCTTAGACCAACACTCTATAAGACACAGAAATAACTAAAATGATTCAATCACTTCAGTATAACTGATTCAATCTGGGTTCTTGTGGTTATCCTGATCTTGTGTTTCATAGGCCTTTGAAACTCCTATTCAATAGGAATAAAAAATAGTTTGAAACTTTGGGCAACAGAAATCCTTAGGTGTTATCAGCCGACTGTACCGGGCCATTCTAATAGCCAGTGAAGTTTTGAATTCCATTTTTTGGTTTGGTTTGGTTTTCTATTTTGGTTTGGGTGATTTGTATTTTTTTGTTGTTTTTTGTTTTGTTTTGTTTTTGTTTTGTGGTTTAGGTGGGGTTGTTTGTTTGTTTTGTAGAGTGAAAAATTATAGATACTGGATATATAGAATCCTTTTTAGACATATAAAATATTCTTTAGGCTTTCTTTATAAGGACATGGAAATTTTTCTGAGAAACAGAGCCATGAAGCAAGTTAAGAATGTGGAATGTTCCAGTCACTGTTACTGGAACCGGCCAACCGCGAAGGAGGAGGAAAATGAATGCAAGTTAGCAAGGTGGAACGGAGAAATTGATGACCACAATGATGGGGCAGGGCTGTAATGGCAGGGCAGGACTACATTCTCGAGAAAGAATAGTCTATAGAATGTTTCACCTGACCCTGACTCAAGTAGGTAGGGTTTCTTTGGAATGTTTCGCTATTTTTATGTTACACCACCCTAACAACCCCCTCACCCCCTCCTCATTCCTTGGTTTGTGGTTTTTCCCTTTAAAACCCCTCTCAAACTGGCTGTCAGGGTCAATTCAGCTCCTGCGTGGGCATACGAATTGACCAGCAGCTAGCTGTCACATGCCCGAATAAACCTTGCTTTAGCCCCGGTTCACGGTGTCTCGAGCAGATTACTGGGTGGTCGAGAGTTTCTGAGACTTGAGTGAGGGTCTCCCCTCTGCTGAGGTCTTCAGTTTGAGACAGCAATTCTCTGTGTAGCCCTGGCTGTCCTGGAACTCACTCTGTAGACCAGGCTGGCCTTGAACTCAGAAATCTGCCTGCCTCTGACTCCCAAGTGCTGGGTTTAAAGGCCCTGGCTGTCCTGGAACTCACTCTGTAGACCAGGGTGGCCTTGAACTCAGAAATCTGTCTGCCTCTGACTCCCAAGTGCTGGGTTTAAAGGCATGTACCACCACTGCTCTGCTTTGCCTCATATTAACTTTGACCATCTTTTCTACACTTCCAACTCTTTCTGGTTCTCTGAATCATTCCATCTTTCTATATGTATGCCTCTGTTGTTCCCTCTTCTACCTGTCTCTGAAAAACTCTCCTGGAAAGACTGCCTCCTCTCTTCCTTTTCCCGCTGTACTGGCATCTTTTTCTTTTCATTATTTATTTTATTAATTTACATCCCAAATGCTGTCTCATCAAGTCCCCCCGTCAGAGTTCTTCATTCATCCCCTATCCCCTTTGACTCTGAGGGGGTGCCCCCTTGGCACTCCCCCTCACAGGGTCAGGATTAGGCACATACTCTTCCACTGAGGCCAGACAAGATAGGCCTCTGCTACATATGTGCTTAGGGCCTCAGACCAGCCCATATATGCATGCTCT